TAGCTGCTTGTCTTTTTTTTCAACTGGAACTCCGCTTTAAGTAAACATTGCAATTTTTCTATATTTAATCACAGAGAAAACGTCCATAAAACATTTTATTTAGCTGCAAAATAATGCAAGGAAGTGTAACTTAACTGAGGACTAGCTGGAGGTGCATTTGAAATTGTTATCCTTAAACCACTGAAGGTCACAGAGAAGAATGGAAATAGTAGCTTGAGGCCCATAAATCAACAATCTGACAGGCCTGAGCTAGAGAATCACTGAATTATAGCAACATTTCAGGCTTTGGTTTCACTGGGTATGTACTTGTCCAAAGTCAACGACTCATTAGAATTAACTGATGAATTGGGTATGATATTTGCATGTATTTGTTACTTCTGTCAGTTTTGACATCAAAGTGTTCAGGTTTTAGATACACCTAGATCCCCCATTGAAGAATGGCAGTGACAATCTTCAGACAGTAGAAAAGAATTGAATACTGTTGGAATTGATCTTCCACCACTTCATAACTATGCCCTAGTAGATTAGAGGAGATGATATCCCAGGGCTACGCAAACCGCTCTAGATAAGTCCTTGGGAATCAACGAGCACCAGATTGAAGAGGAATAACATATTATTACACGTTTTACAGCAGATAAAAGGACACTCTTAACAAGGCCTGCATGGCAAGGGCTTCAAGATTTACTGTAGGGGCTATGCTACTTGCTCGGAGTGGTAATTATCATATATTACCTGTAATAGGTCCTTATTGATATTCTTACAATGAATTTGAGACTCACTAAAACAAGCAGGTGGAACGTTATCGACCTAATTGGATGAGAATTAGTTTAATATGGCTTTTTCTCTGATTTAAAATGCACTAGGCACTGCAGTCCTTGAATTTCAAATGAAGTTTAAAGGGAGCGAATTGCAATTAATACACAGCTTCCAAGGAGACACTTTCTCAGCTAGTTTATAATTGATTGATTGAAATAATTCCAAAGATATTTTATGCTGTTAGATTCTACATTTAAAGCAGTGTTTCTCAACCTTTTTTTGAATTACGGCACCCTTTAAAAGTATTAAAAATCTCAAGGCACCCCAGTCGAAATGTAGATTGCCTAAATGCAACTTATCAACGGGAAACCTGAGCATGGGACAATGCATACAAACCACCTTGATGAAATTAACTTGTCGGAAGCCCCCCTTGACATCAGAGGTCCCCCATCACATCAGAAGCCCCCCTTGACATCAGAGGTCCCCCATCACATCAGAAGCCCTCAATCATATCATGGTTCTCCACATAAAATCAGTGGCCCATCTGCACCATTGCAACTGATGACATGGATACAGGGAAAACTGGGTCCCATGCTCATGTCAGCTCAGGGGAACCCAGAAGGCACCCTGTTTTTTTTCAACCTTCTGGGTTCCCCTGAGCTGACACTGGGTTGAAGGACTGTTCAAATGCATGAATGTGTGCAGGCACAAAGAAAGTAAAGCTGACCATACACTGGTTGAATTTTGAACAAATGTTTGTATCAAAAACAACTCATCAGTACATTTGTTAATGCCAACAGTGACTTGAAGAAAGTCGTTCGCAAGAGTTTAAAAATTTAGTTTGCTTCGCTTTTGGTATAAATGGAATTTCCTGAATAAAAACCACATAACGTTAGAATTTCATTCATTCAGGAAAAAGTTTTCCATTTCACTCCTTTGAATTTTCTCATTATTGTGGTTGTAAATGAATGCCGATTTGTCCACACTAACCAATAGAAAACTGAATAGTCATTCCCGAAAATAAATATTTTCAAACAAAATTCTACTAGTGTATGGCCGGCCTAAATAGAACCCGAATGGAAAGCCTAAATAGAACCCGAAAAAGCTATGTTATCATGTAGCAGAGCTTTTGGCTGTTTATGGGCCAGTTCACGTTTGATATGTAAGGGGGCTACAGCATGTTGGCAAGGGACAGACCTTTCTAATCAGGCTGCAGCTGCTTTTTCTTTCCTTTTTTTTTCAAACAAAACTGGTCTTTAGATGTACCTCAAAAGTATTTAACGGACTTAAAATGAAAGTTCAGTTGGACTTTAACAGGTTAATCTTCTCAAAAGAGTTGTTTCCTTTTAGACAAAGTATAGTGAGGTGAGGTATTATAAATACATTGGAGCAAGGCTTTTTTCACTGGGAACGAAGGGAAATGCAATTCTGGATTCTCCATCACTTAATGTATGTCATGGCAAGGGGTGCTGGGGTGTGTTGGAGGGGCTACTGAAACTGGCTGCTGAGGGGTCTATTGTTGCTCAGAGGGGGTCAACTGTTGCTGGGAGGGATCTTTAGTTGTTGGGGGGGGTCAATTGTTGCTGGGGGGGGATCTGTTGTTGAGGGAGGCGTCTATTGTTGTTGGCTGCTAGAGGATCTAGTGATGCTGGCTGCTGGGAGATTTATTGTTGGTGGCAGTGGTCTATTTTGCTAGGGTGGATCTATTGTTCCTGTAGGGTGTTTTGTTACAGGGGGGATCTATGTTACTGCTTTCTTTGTTATTAACAAATACCATACAATTTACTTAGCATCACAAAATGATACTTGGTTTTATATTCTTTGAAAGGGGTAATACTGGTAAGTGGGTGAGGGTTGAAACAATGGGACGGTGCTTGGAGGTGGGTAGGGGGGTAGTGACAAGGAGTGATTTAGAAGCACCTGCACCTATTCTCTGATAAAAAAAAAGTCTTGCATTGGGGACACCAGTTCCTTACTCATCTTGGACTCTGATCTAAGCTTGTAGCCCAATCATCGCGCACACAGTAAGTGCACACACTTTAAATAGCAAGGATCTCATCACTTAAGTCCCTAAAACACAAGGAAAACCAAAATGGGTGGACTGACCCTCCATGTCCCATGCTTGACTTTACCTAGTTTCTATGTGTTCAAAATTGTGAACGACGATGTTCAGAGGCTGAAATCAGTTTTAATTGTTTGCTAGCACCATTTAGTAGTAAAGTTATCCAATACCCACATTTCCATTCCTCTCTATGCCCATCTCTAGACCCATCAACCAATCCTGTTGTTTTAGCATCATGCCCAATGGTCAGTCTCTTCATAAATGGTGGAGGAGAGGGTATCATAAGATACATGTGTCTTTGATTCAGCAGTCCTTTCCAACTACAAGTAAAAAAATGCATACAGACACTAGATTGCAATTGTCAGATACACCTTATCTGCCTGTATTCAGCAAACATGAAACAAAGATGTTTGCAAAACTTTGTTTTTAAAGCAAAAATAAAGAAAAAAAAAACAATAGATATCTACACACAAAAAAAGTGGACTTTGTCTTACAGTTTTATTTGTGGCCAGATTATGGATATTCAGTTATGTACTTACTCTTGAGAGGCGGTAAAAAAATTCTTTAGTTCTCACTGACCTCTCTAGCTGAACCCAGTGGTGCAATTTATCCTCAAAGCTCTGAGAAGAATATTTTTCTTTCATTTTCTATCACTTGATCATTTGTTCCCCCCTACCAGCAGTGACTTGGCAGCCTTCCAGCCTTCTAATGTAAACATAGGAAGGGGGGAGAAAGCAGAATGCTGACCCCACTTGAACAAGGTTGACGCTTCTCTTGCGAACTTTGAGAATGAATGGCTCCATAGCATCTGCAGCTGCAGAGGTCAATGCGGGTTTGTTTTTAAAGCTTATATGGCGGTTGTTTTGAATATGTAAACACTTGAATGTCCATAGCCTGGCCAGGGTTCTATTTTAAGTCAATAATTTAATTATTTTTTTTTTTTACTAGTAGTGCAAAATCATTTCTGTCTCTCTCTGAGAAGGGGTAATACTCTTCCATCAAATCATTTAAAGAAACATTTTTCTGTGTTTTCTATGGCCCAAACTATTTCAATCTCAAAGTGTAACTTATTAACAAATAATTCTCGGTTTCTGAAGATGGGAGGGGTGCTTTTAACTGATCTCCTAAACCAGACACTCATAATAATTTGCTGTCTATGCAAACCCTAATGTAAGATCATTGGGAGTTAGTGGAAAACATGCTATGTCTGTGCTGCTCTCCACTATTTCATTAGCACGACTAATGGGGTGGGGGGGGGGGGTTGCAAGAACAAACTTTCTATTGGTCCATGGCAGCAAAACATTTCTTCTCGGGCTTCAAGACAAGATCAACTATAACATCATAGATAGGAGGAGTAGCCACACACAGGTCCTAATTTTTAATTCTTCCACATGTATATGACTGTTCGAAGCAGAAGGACCACATGGGTTGTTCATGAACAAGAGCAAAGCGGATATTGATTCCAGCCAAGAGCAAACACAAATTCATGGCCAAAACATTTGGTCAAAATGAAGAATTTATAAAGAATGTAGCAGGGTTCCCTGGCAACAAGATACTACAGGATGGCATGAAAGGTGAGCAGTGAGCTCTAGCATGGAAATTAAATTGGTGCAGTCCTACAGCGATAAACCAAGCTGCTCCAGTACAGTACCAGTACACATTGACCTCAAGAAACTGCAGAACAACAATGATCCTTATTATGAGGAAACGCCATACAAACAAAATTTTTCATTTTCCTATGTTCATTAATGACCTTCGACTCAAAGGCCTCTTCCCAGCAAGCTATGACAAGCTATGACAAGCCAGCCCAATAGGATTCACCAATAACAGAAACATAAGTTGGATTGACCCTTTTAGAAATGTTTAACCATAGCGTATCTTCTCATCGGACAACTTTGTGAACTGCAAACAGAATAAAATGCATTAGAAAAATGAATGCTTTTGGACTCCTAGTAACCTTTTAGCTTTTGATGAACTCAGCAGTCTCAGCATCCTCCCAGCCACAACAGCATTCTGGCAGTTGGCTACTCTTCGTGGTGCAGCCATGCCCAGGAGAACAAGAAGGAACTTGGGAGTCCCAGAAGAACATGAAGGAACTTGGGAGTCCCAGAAGAACATGAAGGAACTTGGAGTCCCAGAAGAACATGAGGAACTTGAGAGTCCCAGAAGAACATGAAAGAACTTTGAGTAAAATAAAAAAAGCCCAGATCTTGTCAAAATATGTAGTAGATGCAGGGGTGGACTGACAACTCATGGGGCCCCCGGGCAATAGGGGATCATGGGGCCCCTGTGACCTTGCCCAAACGCAAAAAAGTCTATGAAAAAGGTACCAGGGGCATCTCATGGGGCCCCCTACTGACCCGGGGCCCTCGGGCAGTGCCCAAGTTTCCAAATGGTCAGTCCGCCCCTGAGTAGATGCCAGGAGAACGTAAAGGAACTTGGAAACCCAAAGAAACATGAAGTAACTTGGAGTTCCATAAAAAAGAAGGTCCAAATCTTGTCAAATGCTGTAGTAGAGGAGACCAGCAATTGGAGAATTACGGTAACTGTGTTGGCACTGCTGACCAATTGTGAAAATGATAGTTGCCAGGCTGTCAGTTTGCTGCTCAACACATTCTGAAGCTGTTAACTGGCATGCTGCCATGGGGCTGCTCATGCATCATAATTCCATGGGTCACTGACAGGGAACGCGCATGTTGCGGGACCAGGAACTCAAAGCCTGCATACAGGTAGTCCCCCCGATTACGAACAAGATAGGTTCTGTAGGTTTGTTCTTAACTTGAATTTGTATGTAAGTTGGAACAGGTACATTTTTGAAGTGTTACTCCAGTCAAAAAATAATTTTTAAATTTTGATTAGCATAGGGAAGGGTTAACTGGCCATGCAGTGATTTGGGATTGTTGACAGGTCCGCCAATAAGTTGGTGGCAGCATGCAGTGAGCAGCAAGTTGGCAGTTCGGTAGTTTCCGGGACCAGTGTGCCGCTATGCTGCCTCCATTCTTAAAGCGGAGTTCCATTCTCCTCGGCACTTTTCTACAAAAAGCACCCCTGTGATTCTCTTCAATTGCAGTATATATTTGGGATAGTGATCTAAATGTATGTTGTATGCGTACATGTAAATGTGACATTCTTCAGCAGGATCCCGGCAGACAAGCACCAGCCATTACTAGTGTGGGCATCTGAAGCCAGCTCCTGCTTTCTTCTGGGATTTAGTGCAGCTGGCTACCCAGCATGCACCTCCCGGTCTCGCACTTGTTTGGTCAAGAAATACCACAAGACTTCGCCATTAGGCTTCTCAAAGACACCTGGGAAAACCGATGCCAATATTTCAAGGGTCCTAGGGAATTGCCTAATGACAAAATCGCCTAGGTGACCAGACCAGAAGGGCAGGATACTGATAGCAAAAAAATATATTTAGAAAAAAATAAAATCCCATAACAGACTGTTCTGCGGGTGGGCATTATGTGGCAAGCATCATGAAAAAAGGGTGGAACTCCGCTTTAAGTACGAGTCGTATGCATGTTTTTATGTTTGTAACTTGGGGACTGACTGTACTTCCTTCAGCCCAGAGTCTTACTAAGTAGTAAATTCAGATGGTCAGCACACCAGCCAAGCAAGTAGCATGTTCAGTAAGGGATTGCAAATAGAAGAACTTATAATTTTTGTCTCATGACAGGTTCCCTTTAAATTCCATTAAAGTGTACCAACATCATTTACCAGCCAGCAGCTAGAGAGCTCCCAATTTAAAAAAAAAAAAAAACCTCTGATTTTTCTTTATAGCAACATTGACCTCTGCAGTCTATATAGTGGTACTGCACAACATCTGAAAAGAGCAAAACAGTCAAAATAACCCAAATTAACATTAAATATGACAATTATTGTATTTAGCCTTATAACAACATTTAAAAAATGATATTTTGTATAACAGTACTTATGTAAACTTCAGACCACAATGAAAAAATAACCGCTTTCCAGAATATAAATAAGCAATTTTCCCTTGGCAAGTCTAAATAGAAATTTAAAATACATTTCAGATTGGCGACCGATTGAGAAGGTAAAGAAAATAAATGTTTTCTGCTGTCCAGTGATCTTTTTTTTTTTTTTTTTGTCTTTTTTTGGTATAGAAGGATGAAGAAGCTAGACCATCCTTTAGGCGACTTTAAATCAACTGGCTTATATAGACCCTTTTTTAAAAGACATCAGGTCATTTGCTTTGCTGTTATATATACCTTAAGCTATACCTATATATCATAAGGTTGAAGTTTTTATTTTTTATTGCTCCAGGATATGACATAGAGATGCTGTGTGCTACTGTTATGTTCAACGGAGGAGAGCAGAATCATGTCATATCCAACGGCAGCAACTTTGCTTGTGAGATGAAAAGCATAATTAAAGGCCTGGTATACCTGGGCTTCACTTCAGAAACATAACAATGTCACAATGACAAAGGGTCTCTGCCGGTGATGATGCTGGCATCATTTGTGTCCAGACCGTCACTATCCAGACCAGTATCTGTGCAGAGGTGACATAGGCTTAGCCTAAGGCAATTAAGATTTTAGGATGGTGTAGTAGTAATATTAGACTTTAGGTGAAGCCTGGTAAGCTGAGCCAGCTTCTGGCTTCTTTGATGACATCGATATGCCCCGAACTACATCACGGACCTAATATCCAAGTACCGCCCAGCACGCACACTCCGCTCCTCACAAGACCTCCTTCTCTCTAGTTCCCTGGTCTCCTCCTCCCATGCCCGCCTCCAGGACCTCTCCAGGGTGTCACCCATCCTCTGGAACTCCCTGCCCCAACCCATCAGATTATCACCTACTCTCCTCTCCTTTAGGCGCACCCTGAAAACCCATCTCTTCAGAGAAGCCTACCCCACCCCCTGCTAACTTGCCGACCTCCTCCACTCTTCCTACCACTCCATCCCCCACAGCTATCTCCTCCTGTACCACTATCCCCTCCCTCCTAGATTGTAAGCTCCAAACAGCAGGACCCTCGATCCCCTCATGTTTTGCATTGTATTGGTATTGTTCTGTCACATGTTCTGTCCCCCTTTGTAATGTACAGTGCTGAGCAAACTATTGGCGCTTTATAAATACTGTATAATAATAATAATAATAATATGCCAGCAGCAAGTGCTTCCTGCCATAATTCCCTATTCTGTTCCTGTACACTTAGGCGGTTTCGGGTGTGTTCATCCAACCTTTCATTATCTACATCAGTGGTCTCCAAACTGCGGCCCAGGGGCTAGGATGTGGGCCTTTGCTTGCCTGTATTTGGCCCTTGAGGCATTATTCCTTAAACTGACACCAATGATGGGCCATCACTCCTCCCATTAACACCATCAGGTTGGGCACTACTCCTTCCACTGCTACCAAAAATGGGGCACTGTTCCTTCAACTGACAGCAAAGATGGGGCACTATTCCTCCCACTGATATTATTAATGCGGCACAATTTCTCCCATTAAAACCAATGATGAGGCAAGGTTTACTCCCACTGGCCACAGTCTGGCCATCCTAAAGCCTGAAGGACAGTAAACTGGACCTTTGCTTAGACAGTTTGGATCTGCATTCCCATTTTTTTTACACATAGTATATAATAAAGAATTCAACAGGGAAGGTAGAAACTCCTTGGAAAGGCCACAGCAAGACCTAGGAACTTATCCCTATGGCCACATTTACATGGACTTGAACAGTGAAATGTCCTCATCATTACTCAAGAGGTTTCCTCAGTTCTAATGAGAGTAGGGACCTACCATAGCATTTAAGTCACATGGGAAACTTAGGCACCTTAATACAAATCGTATTGGCCATTTAAGTTTAAATGTTGAGTTATGTTTCTGACACTCATTAGAACTGAAAAAGCCACTTGGATGATTGATGATATATCTTTAAAATTACAGAGCAAGTCTACTTGAATGTGACTAGCTACTGCCATTGTGCTTTATTTCCTACCAACATTGGCAGAAAGTCTCAAATATACTAGTCAAGCTGATAGAATCCTAAAGCAGTGGCTTGAGAGCTTTGGGAGCCACCAGTAGATCACACAGGTACTACTGGTAATCGCTCAGCAGGCGAGTAACAGTATTTAAAACTTTTCTAATTTTTCCCTACAATGTTAGCTTCTGAGCAGGAGGATGCCCTTTTAAATTCCTTTTTTGTGCAATCTTTACCTACATATACAATAGTTTTCACTAAGCACAGGTTGAAGACCTCTGACACTTTGCATGCAAATGTCAAGACTCGTTCAGGTTCTCTTATTGTTTGTGCCTACTGCATGTGGGTTGGTGGTGCCTTACAGTCAAAATATTTTAAAGGCATACCTAGTTACGATTTGTTTTTTCAATCTTGAAGAAAAACCCAGGTACACATAACCAGACATGTATTTCTATAACTGTATCTAGTAATGTTAATTAAAGTTACCCAAAGGTGGCAAACAAATTAAATTAAAAATACCGCTCTGAAAATGAAAGTTTCCATGTTTATAATGAAAGGTGAAATACCACAACCACATTACCCTCTGCATAGTTCCGCCCATAGGTTATGTGCCTTTTTCATTACAAAATATAAAATAGATTTTTTTTTTTAACATTTATATCGTGTAAATGCATGCAACTCATGCTGGAGTCTAAAAGCTGTTTCCTGTTAGTGGTAAGCAACCAAAAGTGAGGGGGGAAAAAAAAATTGGCGCGATGCAGTGACTACAAATTGAAGCATGCATCGTATGTAGCCATTGGTGATCTTGACTATTCAACTTTGGAAAGTGTATAGTGACTTGTACAAATAGTACATCATACGAAAAGATAATCCCCTCCCCTCATTTTCTTTAAATAGGTTTAGAAGGTGTCCATGCCGAATCGGAGATACCATCTCCTGTTGACGACAAAGTCATGGGGCCACTCGGTGTGAATGGGTCTGTATCGGTGTCCGTTTCACCTTCCGCTAAGAAACGTTTATCTCTCATCCACGTTGAGCCATTAGGATCAAAATTAAAGTCTTCTTTTTCTTGGGAAATGCTGAACCCACTGAGCGACCTTTGAAGTTCATCATGGTTCACTGATAGAAAAGATAACGGGGTGTCACTGTCCCTTGTAAAACTTCTTCTATGGAAGGGGGAGCCCCTCTCGACATAAGGACTTGATACCTCTCCTTCGTGTCGAAAATCTACCCGTGTGTCTATTAAAGTCTGAATAGGCAAAACAGTTGGCCTTTCAGTATAGTTGCCTGAAGAGGACATTGACCTTCTGGAACAATTGTCACCATTAAAAGGCATGGGTGAAGTAAAATCCGCAGGGTAGTTCTCAAAGAACCCATACTGGTCCATTTTGTTAAATGAAACTTGGTGCAAGTTGTAGGGATCCACATGGGAGCAAGACTCCGTGTAGTTATAAATTACCCTGCCGACTTCAGAGTATCGACTCTCTTCTCCTTCTTCTTCAACTGTTGCCTCTTGGAGTGGATAGTATTCTGTAACTTGGACCTGTAGCTGATCCATGTGTTGCATGTGCATGTCAACCAGAAAATCAAGCTTCTTTTCCATGTCTTGGACCTGATCCAGGATTCATAGAAGGAAACAAGACAAACACAGAAAATAAAAAGTATTAAACATATACATTGAATTTCCATTCAACTGTAGGCCTACTTACAACCTAGTTGTAACAGGTAATGTACTAGTAATCCCTTGAGAATCTCTTGCATTGTGCAGCTGACAAAACTCCTCCTCTTCTGTTTAATGTTTTTGGTTCTGATTGTCAATTGCATGTCAGGATAGCTGATAAAGCAGTAAAGAGGAGCAAACTATGGAAATAGATTTAGTTTTTTGTCAAAATCATACAGTAATAAAACACAAAAAAATTGTGGTTTTGATGAACGGCAAGGGGTAGAATTTAATTAGCTGGATTGAACCCACCTGGAAAAAATCAGATCACTTTCAAAGACATTACCATAATGTTTTTTCTTATCATTTGATAAACTGTTTTGAAGCTGTAAATTCTTTGCTTAGTTTTGCCTTCCCAAACAACTGAATTCCAATGTTGAGCAAACTCTTGGGTGGTAGGTGGTTGAGTTTTTGCTGAATACTTATGTTGTATTTTTATTCCTGTTGATTGGAAATTGACTAAAAATTGCCAAGTGTTTCAATTACAAGAAGGTCTGAATGGATCAAGGCAACTTAACTGGTGATGGTAAGTTTTCTTGATACATCTGATTATTCCTGTTATGAAAAGAAAGTGAAAACTGCCAGAGAATCATTGCATGCAGGAATGAGCAAAATTGAAAGTGGTAAATCAGCTTTGTTAAAAAAAAAACAAAAAACATGGCATTGATGTGGCTATTTTTGATTACCAAAGCCATTCATTCCTCATCTGAGTCAGTACCAATATCTGAACAACATGGCTTTGTTGAAAAAGTCATGTCAGTTTATCAAGAGAGCTGTATCACACAGCTATGGAGTCCAACATGGCTTAATCTAAACAAGCACCATTTTTGACAAAGTTATGACAAATGCAAAATCTTTTCACTGTGAAATCAAATTTGGCCGCTCATCACTAGACCTGAGTATGGCCAGCATCAAACCTTTCCTTCTACAGGCTGTTTGAACCTTTCACAAATAAACAAATTGCTTAAAATGTTGGTTTCTACTATACCTGTCTTTCCACTTTCACAAATTTTCCCATCATACTTTGGTCTTCAAAATCTGATGCTTTGGAACCATAGGGGTCGTGCCTGAAAGAGAAGAATGAAGTCTCATGGATGAATTTTTGTGAAGTGAAAAAAAAATAGTTTTTATTATTTCTCTTACTAGCAATTAGTTACTCTACATCAGTGGTCCTCAACCTTCCTAATGCCAAGACCCTTTAATACAGTTCCTCATGTTGTGGTGACCCCCAACCATAAAATTATTTACCCAGTAATTATAATTCATGAGTGTCGTTTTACCTCCAATACTGCTGCTTTCTACACAGTAGCTGCTTTTAACAGAGTAGCTGCTTTCAACACAGCAGCTGCTTTCTACACAGTAGCTGCTCTTTACACATCGGAAATATGTGTTTTCTGATGGTCTTAGGGGACCCCTGTGAAAGGGTCGTTCGACCCCCAAAGGGGTCGCAACCCACAGGTTGAGAACCACTGCTCTACATAATAGCCCATGGATGATTTCCCTTGGCTATGTAAGATGCTTTAGTATTTTGACCCTTCCATTGCTCTGAATAGAAGCAAACCAACACTAGGAATATTCAGATGATTGATTGGCTGATAGAGTCCTGCACATAGCACTGTGATTGGTGGGTCTATTCCTGTGGAACGTTGCTTCAGATCAGTTGGTCCCAAGTGTAGAACCCAAGTGTAGCAACACTAAAGAACAGTTGGTTAATTTAGGAATATTGCGTATATGCTTGGAAACAGGAACCGCTTCAAAAAAGAAACATCAAGGACTATGCTATGTTTTGTAACAAGGAAATAATAATTTTCTAGAAGTTCTTCTGGTCATCCTAGCATATACCAAACTGCATAACATTAATAGCTTGAGCATGAGGGTCATATTACCTTGCAGACTGTACATTATGGTCATATTACCTTGGAGACTGTTGAGATGGGTAGCCGTATCCTCCACCAAGTCCACCTATTCCTTTCTGGGACTTTTTATGTTTGGGGGTAGAAAGAGGACCTGGAGCAAAAACCATATCTATTCTGGAAAGGAAGAAATGAAGACAGAAAATTTCTACATATTCTGAGAAGGTAATTGTAGCACAAGTCAACAATAGAAATGAAAGGATCAGTCCACCCAAAATAAATATTTTGGTAATAGGTAGAGTCTCTAGGAATGAGACAGCCCTTTGAAGTTTTTGCAGTCCATCAGTGCAATCTTCCTGCCATAATCACTGAATTTACAAAGCCTAAGGAAAGTATTAGCTGCACTCTGAATAAAATTCAAATGCTGGTAACTTTAATCATCAGGATATCGTGAGCAGGGAATATGCAGGAATTCCAGAGGGGGGTCTGGGAAACTTTTTGTTTATGCTGTTTGGATAAAGTTACCAGCATTTCAATTTTCTTTGGATTTGTTAAGTCTGTGGGGCATATGATGGCCTGCTAGCTTTTAGCATTCAATCTTCCATTTTGGTGGCCCAGACTTAGGGGATGGGAGCAGCATAATCTGTACTTTTGCAAAGATAATGTCTGACTTTCTTCCTGTCCACCTGGAGTTTTTGAGTTTTCCCTTCAAGGTTCGTATGTACCACCTACTCCTGGTGTGCTCACCAAAATGTGGGATCCATCACTAAGAGACAGTGAGGGTACGCTCCATGTACATTGACTGACAGGAATGTAATAGAAGGAGAGAACAGAACCTATAGAGGGATTGAAGGGACAATTTAAAACCGAGAGGATACCAAAATGCATTCAAAACTACAGTATTGTGGCCCATTTAAAAATGCTGGCTATGATTTAAAGTCTACAGAGTTCCACAGAGTACTCTCTGTTTAACGCTGCAGAAAGAACTTGGTGATTGGAGAAGAGGTCAGTTACATGATTTTGGTTGGTTACATTACCAGGCTGGCATCTCCTCCTCTTTGACCTTTTTCTCTTAAAGTGTATGTCAAGGCAAAAAAAAAAAAAAAGAAATCCCTATAAAAACACACACAGTATAGAAAAATAATTGTTTCTGAGCTAGAAACATAATACATCTGTTTCCTGTTTCAGCTGACAACACTGTATTTTGAACTCTGAATCTTAAATGTGTGGTGTCAGCCCTACTTCCTTCATTTCTGTTAGATTACAATGAACACAGACCTCTCCCCATCTCATTCTCTCTCCTCATTTCCAAAATCCCTCCATATCCCCTCCAGCCTCCCTATCTCATCCTCCCTCCTCAACTTCTCATCTCAAAAAGCTCTCCTCATCTCCAAAATCCTCCCTCATTACCTCCCCCTTACCAACTCATGCTCCCTCCTCGTCTCCAAAACCCCTCCTCATCGCATATCCCTCCTCATCTCATCCTTCTTCCTCATATCCAAAACCTCTCCTCATTTCATCCACCTCCTCATCTCCTCCCCCTCTTCATCTCATTATTCCTCCTCATCTCCAAAACCCGTCCACATCTCATCCTTCCTCCTCATCTCCAAAACCTCTCTATTTCATCCTTCCTCCTCATCTCCAAAACCTCTCTTTATCTCATCCTTCCTCCTCATCTCCAAAACCTCTCTTTATCTCATCCTTCCTCCTCATCTCCAAAACCTCCTCTCATCTTATCTCCAAAACTCCTCATCTCATCCTTCCTCCTCATCTCCAAAACCTCTCTTCATCCTTATCTCCAAAACCTCCTCATCTCATCCTCCTCCTCATCTCCAAAACCCCTCCTCATCTCATCCTCCCTCCTCATCTCCTCCCCCTCTTTATCTCATCCTTCCTCCTCATCTCCTCCCCCTCTTCATCTCATCCTTCCTCCTCATCTTTCTTTTTCCAAGCAAGGGTATGGCCACATTAAGTCCATTTCACTTCTATATACCTATACGTGGAGCTCTGAGAGTCAAAAGCAACATGATAAATCTAAATTTCTACACTTTGTAATTAACAAAACACCAGAAATACCAAGAAAGTAGCTTATATTAGTACTATGCATACAAAGTTTTAGAATTTCTGACCGCTGTTACCAGGGCCACTATTGGAAATCATAGGGCCACATACAGCCTGCTTGACAGGGGCCTGAGCCCACCCACCTCAGTGTTTCTAATCTGTTGCACATGCCAGCCCTGCTGGGTAATCAACCCCAAAGAGAGAAGGGACTTTTAATACCCTAATATGCATGCACCATAATCCCTCCAGCTGTGGCTTCCAGCAATTTAATTAAATTGTGCAGCCCTATCAATTCAGCAACAGGGCCTCCTTGTTGCAGCTCCTAACAATTACATATAGAGGAAGAGACCATAACTTTAATATAATGGAGGATTGTCTGCTCCCGAAAAGGAGTTAATAGTCCCTTCTCTGTTCTTTTTTTTAACCACTGGAAGCCACAGCCCCTGGAATTATTGTGCATGGGCCCAAAGTAATTTGAGGAGGCCCTCTCTACTCATGCTGAACTGATGGGGCCCAGGGCCTGTACAAGATTGCCAACTCCATCCCCTTATTGGTGGCCCTGGCTGTTGCTACACAACATATGAATATTACACCATTTCAGAAAAAACAAACAAGTGATCTTCTATTCTAAATATTGCCCTTACCTTGACTGGAGGTATTTAATCCTAGAGAGCATATCCAGATGTCCAGCAGAATATTGCTCTATCACATCCTTCACATCATAAGGCCGCAAAGTCTCCTTAAATTTCTTCTTATGTAGCAAGAACTGCATTATTCTGTATGAGAAAACAATGGGACTCACAGAGTTTTTATGACACCAACATAAGAAAATAACTTCCAGTTCAACATCAGCCAGCAGCATCATTAAAGTGGTAATAAAGTCAGTTTTTGTATTTGTACCTACAGGTATGCCTATAATAAGGCTCACCTGTGGGTACTGTAAATATCTCCTAAACATGCACCATGTAGGAGATATGTTCCTGTGTAAAGCACAGGCGCATGCACTCTGAAGGAACGGCGTGCCCATGCTGTTCCTTCAAAGCTGTGTGCTGTAAAAAGTGACTCCCGCGCAGGAGTGACGTCATCGCGGCTCAGCCATTCAAGCCGCCAGTGCCCACGAACCCAGGAGAAGGACTGAGTGAAGATAGAAGCCCTGTCAGCAGTGACAGCAAATTGATGTGATGCATACTAGCACATTATGCTATTTTCTTGCAGGTTTTTTTTTTTAAAAAGGTCACGGTTTACTACTGCTTTAAAATGAACCCCTCAGTCACTTTAACCATAGAAAAGTAAAACGATTGTTTCAGAGCAGGAAACACAAGATGTCTGCTAGGACCTTATGTTAGCCAACAAGTCTCTTCTAACAGTTCTTTGAACCGCGTTGATCATGGTAAACTGTTTTAATAAGCAGCATTTGACTTATCTGACTGATGTCACATGGGGTGGGGTCACATGCACGATGTCCTCGGGTGGCCCCGCCCCTTACATATTTAAGAACTGTCAAACCACCGGAGCATCGTCGGGAGCGGAGCCTTTTTTTTTACATTCTTTTTCTCGGGTCAACGGTGGCAGCGGCGGGCATCGTGATTGACGTTGGATCTACTGCAGGGGACATTCTTCTAGTTTTTTCTTTTAATAAAGGATTTGTCAAAGACCGTCTCCTGTCTTTTTTCACACTACACTTTTTGTTTTTGGTGAATGAGTAGGGGTACCATATACCACATATTCATTCATATAGGGGGGGCAGGATCTGGGGGCCCCCTTGTTAAAAGGGGTTTCCAGATTCCGATAAGCCCCCTACCTGCAGACCCCCACAACCACCAGCCAGGGTTGTGGGGAAGAGGCCCTTGTCTCCATCAACATGGGCACAAGGTGCTTTGGTGGGGAGTCCCCCTGCCCCAAAGCACCCCCCTATGTTGAGGGCATGTGGCTTGGTATGGTTCAGGGGAGAGGGGCGCTTGCTCGTCCCCCCCCTTTCCTGACCTGCCAAGCTGCAAGCTTGGATAAAGGTCTGGTATGGATTTTGGGGGGGACCCCATGCCATTTACTCATCAAAACAACACTTCCCTTGCCTGGGCAGCCTTGAGTTTTAAATATGTATATCTGCAGTGTGAGATCATTTCTGGTACTGCAGTCTCTGGTCACTTGTCTCAGGGTATTAGAGCGATATTTGGTGATGTTACTTCTGTGCTGCTCGCTGTTCTCCTTGCTGAAGTGGAAGTTGTACCTGAGGACCTGCAGTGCAAAGATTTCCCTGCTTCTGCTTCATTTATTCTGTGGATATGTGCTTTCTCTGCCTCTCTACTGCTTCGTGGTCATCTGGTGGGCAGCTCTGATATAAGGAAGCAAAGCCCTGCACACAGTGCAGAACAAGGCATGCTAAAATAGTAACGAGGGAAAAGGTCAGCTGCAGGGTGACCACAGGCAATGCCTTCCTTTGCCCTCTGTTTTTATTTTTTGGGCACAGTTTCCCCATTTCTGGTACTAAAGTTCAACTTGAAATATGTAAAAATTATAACTAGCTCAATTACTAACTCATTTGGTATTAATGATTTAACTTTTATTTCACCATAGGAACTGACATTATGTCAGCGTAGATTTCCCAGAATTTTCATCCCCCTGGACCTGTCGAGATTTGTCCAGATGCCTGACTGGCAGCTGGTTCACTCTCTCAGCATGTTGCCGACAGCCTGAGCCAGCCGCTCCTGCCCCCTCCACAGCCCGGCTCTCTAATGCGTTCTGTCGGGGCAGAGCACAGAGTGGTGATTGACAGTCACCGCTCTGTGCTCAGAGCAGATCTGAGAACTGAGCAATCAGAGGTCTTTGATTGTTCAGTTCTCTGTGTAGAGCTGGCGAGGGACAGATGCAGCATTGGGCCGATGCTGCATCCTCTTAGGTGAGTATGCAACTTTGTATCTAACTGTCCATTACTGACGCACCCTGCCTTGGCTACTCCTTGTATCTGCCTGTGCCGACTTTTGTTCTTGACCTCCTCATCTGTTACCGTCCATGGCCTGAATTCCAACTACACTTCTACCTACATGATACTCGATCTGACCATCAGTTACTGATCTGGCTTGCCTGACTGATCATCTGCCTCCTGCCCTGCCAATCTCTGCTACCACCTGCCTTAGAGGTAACTCTCTATTTAGGCAAATTAGGCGGTCGTCTAAAGCCTCGCAGCTGCCTAATTTGCCTGCTGCAGTGAAAAGTTTGCCTACTACAGAGCTGTCAATTACTTTCACGGAGCCGGCAGCGTGGTGCCCCCCCCCTTTTCTGCCAGCACCCCCCCCCCCCCTCGAATGTTACTTCCGGTTTCAGGTGCACCCTTTCCTGGTAAGTACAACCAAGGGACACATCTAACCAAGCTGATCTGTGCTTGGTTAGATGGTGTGAAGGGCAGGGGAGACATTAAAGCACCTGTCACCTGCCCAATGCTTTCACATGGGGGTTTAGAATTAAAATTACAATAAAATAAATTAAAAATTCAAAAAATGTGCATGTAAACCACATGTGTGACATATCGCCGCGAATGTCAGAGTGAGATCAGTAATTCTAGCACAAAGCTCCTAGTTAGCCATAAACGGCTTTGAAGAATCACCTATGTTGATTTTTTGGCACCATATTTTTCGGTGATATCACAATTTTAAGATATGGAATAATTGATGTCTATCTACTTGATGCAACCTCATCTTTTATATTTTAGCCAAACATGGGTATTCTATTGTGTGATTGTGCACTTATATTGATTTTATTATATTTTTCCCTGAAAATTTGCATTTAATAAACATAAAAATGTGCATAACATAAAAATAGACATACAAATTTGCAAATATCACCTTTGTATTCTACAGGGCTTCTTTCAGAAATTATATAATGTTCTGGGGGTTTAAGTAATTTTATTGCCACAAATTTAGATTTTTACATTATTACGAAAAAAAAATGCTCTGTAGTCGAACTGGTTAATCCTGCTGTGCACAGGCAGCATTAAGAGCTCTGTCACACCTTTCACGTAACCGAAGATTTCTGGAGCTCTGACGACCAATGAGGAGTGACGTTGTGTCTGAGCACGTCACTCCTTCCATACACCACACGAGGATCTCGATCTGGAAAGGCTTGCTGCATGGCTTACAGATGGGCAGACAGATAGATGACCATGAGTGGGGACTTATGTTTCGATTTGCCTAAGGCTTCAGAAAGCCTAGAGCCACCTCTGATCCTGCCTGTTGCCCAGTCAGTCCCTACTGATCTTCTGATGCCTAGGTTGACTCTGCTGATGTTCAGCCTATTTACCCAAACCAGTTGCTCGCAAACAGAAAAGGCACTCGTTCCACCCTGTACCCTTACACAACCTGTTCAGTACACTAGGGACCCTTAGGTGTAAGGAATGCTGTCCTCATCACTTCAGGTTCTTGCACCAGGTACATTAAATCAATACTGGTTCTACTAAAGATCGGTGAAGTCACCAATTACTTGAGTCCACCCAAGTGTTACTCCATTTTGAGCCTCATCGAAGAGGGGTAATGTTTTCCTTGGAACGCATTGAATGTTTTTATAGGACATATTTCTCAACAATTAAAATGTTCTTGGATGTTTCACCCAGTCTGGCACTCCTTACTGTAATTTCTATGGACATAGCTCAAGCCCCATAGAACACAATAGATCAGGTCTAGGAGTGACTACATCCATTGTCCCTATAAGAGTTCCAGAACTGTTTCTATGTGCTCACAACAAAGGAAAGACATTTACCTAGAAGCATGGATGACCACTTTTATCGTAGGGATTAAATCCTCCATCAGATATTCATTACTGTAGCCTCCATCTGCCATAGGGTCCCCTGTTGTTCCGGCATCTGCAGAGAAAGTAAGATAATTATCTAGACAATGTTACTGAAATAAAGAGTATAATGTCGCCTCACCGCTTCCTGCCTGATGAGAGCAAGTAAACACACATTTTTACTTTGTAGTTCCTTCTCACTATGACCTTCTGGGTTATACGTTCCATAAACGGCACGGTTTCCGTACAATGTATTGATGATGGACAACAAGCCTACAAATAGGCTTTTGCTTTCTGGTTTATTAGGCTATATATGTGCTATATATCAACAGTTCTGGACAGGGCTGTGGATAAGGGGGTACCACCAGTCCTCCTGTACAGGGCCCAGGCCAGCAGGGTGAATTGGATGTGGGCAGGGAGGGTGAAGGGTGCGGCGGAGAGGCAATTACTGGAGCCGATCCCCTGTATGGCTCTCTATGCAGCACCTGAAAGCTGGCTTCTTCTCCTCTCTCTTCCGCTGGCTTTCAGCTGCTGCAAAGAGAGCCATACTGGGGATCGGTTTCAGTAATTGCCTCTCCGCCGCACCCTTCACCCATCCTGTGCACCACACATTTTACCCCTGCTGCCCTAGCACCCCTGTGTGCCCCTACCCCTGCAGTGCTTCCGGCTTCCTTCCTCTCCTTCCCACCTTCTTCCCACCGGCAGCTGCAAGGATCCTTCAGGATGGAGAGTGGGATAATGGTCTGGTAAATATGTTACATTTCCCAGCCCCTTCCTTTCCTCCCTTTCTGTCCTGAATGAACACAATGAGTGATTGGTACCAATCACTCACTGTGTTCATAAATGAATCCTAGTAAACTGTGTTTTCTTTGGGGGGCCCTGTCAGGTTGGATCTATGGGGCCCCATGGTTTCTAACAGCAGCCTTGGTTCTGGATACATAATTATCCTGGGTTCACACTGGTGCTTCTGCATCATGTGTTTCTTAGTGCATTTTTGGTGCAGGGGGGTTTTTATGTGCGATTTCATGCGTTTTCACACTTCATGCATTTTTTTAGTAGGAGGAGATTGGTTGTTGAACACAAAACCCTGCCAAAAAATGTACCAAAAACTCATGTACGTGCACTGTGATTTCGAGGACAGGACCCGAATCAGGGGTCTAATAGACCCCTGATGTCTTCATAGAGAGAATCTGTTACTGCCCAAAGCTATCACAATGGGGAAAATGAACACGTAGGTCCAGCCTGCACATGTAAACAGTGATTGTACCACACATGTGGTATCATCTGAATGCTGGAGTGAGAGCAATACTTCCACGGCCATAATTCACAGTTAACTCTACACTGATAACCTGTAAAGGCATTTAAAGTGGGAGTAAGCTCTCTTTTTTTTGCTTTGTACCTACAGGTAAGCCTATAATAAAGCTTACCTGTAGATACAGTAAATATCTCCTAAACTTGCTCCGTTTAGGAGATATTTACCTGTGTGGCCACCAGTGACGTCGCCGGCGCATGCGCTCTGTGCCATAAACAGTGACTCCTGCACACATGCGTGGGAGTGACGTCATTGCGGCTCGGCCAACCAAGCGGCCACAGCCAGAGAACACGAAAGAAGACCGGGTGAAGTTGGATTCCCTGTCAGCAGTGACAAGGTGCTGTTAGATGGATCCATTTCACAGGTAAGTCTGTCATAATATGCAGTGCTTACTAGTACATTATGACTTTACCCTGTGTGTGGGGGGGGGACAGTTTTTTTTTTTTTAGCAGCGGTTTACTGCCACTTTAAAGTGTCACCTATGGACAATTTTAGATCCCAACCACGCCTCCACCTGCCTGGAGTTTGCAAGTTCTTCCTGTGCCTGTGTGGGTTTCCTCCCAGTACTTTGGTTTCCTCCAGCACTCCAAAGACATGCTGGTAGGTTAATTGGATCCTGTCTAAATTGGCCCTAGTGTGTGTATGTATGGATGAGTAAAGGATCTTAGATTGTACGCCCCTTGAGGGTTAGGGACTGATAAGAATATACAATATATATGTAAAGCACTGCGTAAATTGACATCGCTATATAAGTAATGAAATAAATAAATAAAATAAATAGCTTGTTGCCATTTCACAGGCATGAACAATTTTACATCTTTACACGTTTGGTATATACTCTATGCAACATATATTTTAGCAAAAAATAGGTATTCTGTGTGTTCATTTTAGTGTATTTTTCTCTTGAAAATTTGCATTTCATAAATGGCTGCACAAATATCGTGCGACATAAAGAAAATTTCAATAGCCGCCAGCTTATTCTCCAGGGCCTCGGCTTACGGAAAATATGTAATGTTTGAAGGTTCTAAGTAATTTTCTAACATAAATACTGATTTTAACTTATGTGTGAAAATATGTAAAAATTGACCCAGGAGAATAGTGGTCAATAAATACAGAGCTGAGTATATTTGTGTATTTTATATCTGTCTGGAGATCAGCTTTACATGTTCAAATTTAATTTCAGTATTTCTCAACTCCAAGCTATAGAACGCAACTTTATAAATTCCTTCTTAAAACAGATGAAGTGTTTCCGCAACTATAACTAGACCCCTAAATACCACATACAATCAGGGGCGGACTGACAACTCATGGGGCCCCCGGGCAATAGGGCATCATGGGGCCCCTGTATCCTTGCCCACACTCAAACCACACCCAAATAAGCCTATGAAAAGGTACCAGGGGCATCTCATGGGGCCCCCTACTGACCCCGGGCCATTAGGCAGTGCCCGAGTTCCCAAATGGTCAGTCTGCCCCTGCATACAATATATATAGGGTCACTAGGAGAAAAAATGGTTTTATTTGTAAAGAGCTGTGATTACCTTCTGAACTTTGCCAGAAGGCATAGGCTTTCATCCTTAGTGCAGTACGGAATCGCTCCTTGTTGCTCACTCCCATGGTTTTTGGTTCTTTGGAGGGACTTTCTTCCACGCCCTCAATGTTCAGTGGGGAAAAGGTTTTGGCTTTCGGACTGGTCCCACGAGGATTGGAAAGGCGTACTCGATCTAGAAGGCTCCACCTTTGACTGTAAAGCAAAAAATAAACTGGTTTAATAGAGGCCTGTAGACTTAAGGAAATATTATGTACAAAATGAATTTGACCAAGCTATCTAAAATATTCTCAGATGGGCAGATGTCTCCAGAAGGATGGCAGAAGAGATGTCACAAGGTCCTCAAATTGGATGCTTCATTGACGAGATCTTTTCTAATATTTAGGTTTGTTGTATGACACAATTTTAATTCCTACATTTTTCCCATAATAAGTTGAAGGATATGCCTTGCTTACAAAATTTTCCAACAAGGTGAAAAAAACTCATTTTCTTAAGAAACTCAGAGGTCTAAAGTATTCAAATGGCAGTATGAATATGGTCATATGTACGTGCTCTGTGCAAGAGTTTTGCACAGAGCAGTCCCAATCCTCTACTTCTTGGGTTCCCGGACAGGGCTCCAGCCCCTCCCCTATTGCCCGGGGGCCCCATGAGTTGTCAGTTCGCCCCTGGTCATATGTATGTGCTCTGTGCAAGAGTTTTGCACACAGCAGTCCCAATCCTCCACTTCTTGGGTTCCCGGACAGTGCTCCAGCCCCCTCCACCCTGCTGAGTGCCCCCCAGAGCAAGCACTTGTGCTTGCTCGCTCCCGAGCCATCTCTGTGCATCTATGAGCCATACAGAACATGGCTCTGCCCCGCCCCCAGCTATCTCCTTACTGAATGAGGAAAGAAAAAACAGAGGGCGCACAGGCCTAGTGCATTACCATAAAAAATGTTTAATAAAAAATAAAGTATGTGTTGTACTCACAAACAACAATATAGTCAAAGCACATCATAAAGAACAGCTGGGTCAACACCGCACTGAGTAACAGTCCGCAATAGGGAGTATAGACATCCAAAAGGCTGACGCGTTTCGAGGACTTGCCTCTTCCTCAGAGAGATCTCCTTACTGGCTGTGATTGACAGTCAATGGCTCCCGCTGCTGTGTCTCAGCCAATGAGGAGAAAGCGACCCAGGAGAGCTTCTGTTCTCGAGCACATCACTGGATGGGGATCGGGCTCAGGTAAGTAAGGGTGAGCTAAGAGGGGAGCTGCACACTGAAGGTTTTTTTTTACCTTCATGTATAGGGTGCATGATGGTAAACAAAACTTCAATTTTTACAACCACTTTAATGTACAGAGCTGTATAAAAATAACATCTTTTAAATAGGCTAAATGCATTGCCCCTTTAAAAGTGAGCTTAAAAAAAGAATTATAGATTTAATCACCACTAACTTGTAGATGTTATAGGACTGTCATCTTGAAACTGTTGTCAGTAACTAGCAAATCACATACCTGGTGCAAAGATACAGTCAGTAAAGACTAAAATGATTGAATTCCTTCTAGTGAAGCCAGGGCCGGAACAGCCTGGAACCTTTACAATCAAGTCTCTAATGGCATCTTCCATAATTTTATACTTACTCTTTTTTTTTTTTTAATTACCACCCCCCACCCTACATTTTGGTAAATTCAGACAGCTTATGGTGTCTACTATGCAATCTTCATTCTGAATAATATAAAGTTTCTTAAAGTGACATTGTCGGAGGTATAACCAGTCCATCCAAGCTGTGCTGCAAAAAATAGTTTTTTCCAACACCAGATCCAGACACTCTGTGGGCATCATCCAATCTCCAATACATGGGGATCATCCAATTACTAGAAGGCCATATTTGGACTAACTCTATAAAAACTGCCTGGGGTTACAATACATAGACCAGTTCAGCCTCCATTCTTCCTCCCTTTGTGGAAGCGCATTGGGTAGATTCTTCCTTTAGGACTCACAGGGTTCCCATGTGCCAATGTATTCTGATGCACTTTTCTTGAGCACCCCTCTCCTGAAGAAGCATTAAGTGAAACGCGTTTGAGACACAGAACTCATCCACAGCAAATAATGTGTCTGTGAGATCAATGATAACTTTTATATGTTGCAGTTACATTTTGAGTCTCAGATGGCACATGAGATATTGGTGAACCCCCAGGGAGGGAATTTATTATAAGATGCCAAGGATGGATCTCGAAGGGTTGTGTTCAGAGGCGTTGTATATGTTTTGTGTATCATTTTAATAATGGTGAGACTACTGTTGCCTTTTTAATACTAGCCACTCCTTGTCTAGTGGTTAATGTGCTAATAGAACATTGGATTTTAGCAGATGTGTGTGTGTGTTGACATCTTTGAGAGATAACTCACCTTAAAAGTTCCCTTAAAATTTTGTCTTTCACCTTAGGCCCATGGATGCATTAACCATTTGTCTAGTTATGACCGAATGGTCAGCCAGTATGATGTACCAAAATTATAGCACCTCATGATAGGGCTATAGGAAGGAATGTGGTAGACACAAGCTTCAGCGCTACTTAGAAGTGTCATAGCTTGCTGATTAACTCCTCTCCCTTCTACACTACCATGGAGATCTATTTCTCAGAATAGCATGGTATTAGCCATGACTGAAGGCTCTTGAAAGCTGCAGTAGGTTAGGTAGATCTCTGCAATTTATGAAACAGTTTTTTTGTTGATTTAGCAACAGTCTCAAGGCTGTTCAAAAAAAAAAAATTGTCCCATCTCCTCCAAGATCCTCAAGCAGACAGAATATTTTGCTTGTTTGTCTAAGAGATGAGATAACAAAAGGTAAAGAGGTTCTGCAATCTGTTCCCAAAAACTGGCCAGTATAAACCTCATTGCCTGGACTTCTTTAAGGCCAAGTCAACCTTAAAATAATTTATTGATTTACTCAAGCAAATCAATTAAGTGAACGTGTTGCTTTAGGTTTAGGGCTCATGTACACTGCAGCTGATAAACTGATGTTTAGGAGCGTTTCTGTGTTTTTTTTTCAGCAGCCCCTGAACTCTCCCTAATGTTTTCCTATGTGTCCATGTACACATCATCGTTTACAGTCGTTTACAGGCATTTGAGTTTACAGTCGTTTTTTTTGAACGCAGAAAACTTGCGTTCAGCAGTCAATTTTATCAGCGTTTCAAATGCAAAAGACTTGTAAACACGGCTAAATGTGTCTAAACGCGGCAAATTGCGTTTAAAAGCATTTGCGTCTGAAATTTTTTTTTTAACTCTTCCAGATCCCGATGCTGTCCGAGCCTTTTTTCATCATGAAAAATGCATGCAAAGTGTTTTCAAGGTACTCAGATGGACAAAACACTGAACACAGGGTGTTCCTACCAAGCTTGTCACACATTGTAATGACCAATTCACGCCTCAGACCTCTCCCACCCTTGGTAACAAAAGATATGTTAATGACCATTCACACCTCAAATTCCTTATGAAGACCCCTGCCAGGTGGCCTTAATGACTCCCTCCACCAGACACCTTTCCCATTCTTGGAAACAAAAGAAATGTTAATGAGCAACTCACACCTAATTATCTCAACACATACTGCTGTCTCTGCTTCTACTCTCTGTATTTCGCTGAAACAGTCTGAAATAGTTAATAATTTACCACTTTTCAGTGCATTCTGGGCATTTGGGAGGTTCTCCTGTGCTTATCTTTAAAAAAAACGCTTCTAAAACACAAAACACAAATAAACGCGCTATGCAAACGCGGCTAAACAGATGTTTTTTAACCTACGTTTTCCAGCAGTCAGTTTCCATCGTTCAGAAGTGTCCCGTGTACATGGGGACTCACTATGCGGGTCTACCTGCTGCACTTATCAAGCCACAAATGTAAGCACAAGGGTGTATATACAGGTGTATATTGTACACATGGGTAGTGGAGGTTGATAGTGTTCTCAATAATGTTCTTAATTGTGTTCTTTTACGAAATGTTCAAACAAATGGTGAGCTGAATGAAGAAAAATACAACTTTACAAGCACCATACCTTCCTAACTTCCTTTGCCCTTATAATCTCCTAAAATGTTTGCACACTTTAAAGTGCTTTTCTCTAAGCCATCCGGTGTACAGAAAGTGTCTATGTCAATTTCTTTACTTCATGAAAAAAAATATGAACAGAACAGAAAATAAATAAAATAAAAGCTAGATTAAAAGCTTCTAGAGGCTTTGTATGGTATAAACAAGCAAGCCCTAAAGAGAGAGAAAAGAGTTTGTACTGATGAACAATGTAGCAATCCCGGTTTCATCTTTGTTTTCCATTAAACACTGCAATTACATCTTCTTTGATGAAAATTAAAACAGGCCATGCAACATTACAGAGCAATATGAATGCAAATTTACTTTTCTTTATCCTTGAATTTCTGAGGCACAAATTTCTCATTGTATTGCTGCAGAATTAAATTTTATTTTGTAAGGGAGGAAAGGATATAAAAGGAACAGAGATGCTCCAAACAGTTGAAGATGAGTCGTTCTACAAGTCCTTTTTTATCCTCCTCCTTTCTAATTTATTCCATACAGTCATGGCCGAAATTGTTGGCACCCTTGATATTTCTCTCCAGGAAATCATGTATTTCTCACGAAACGTATTGCATTAACACATGTTTTGCTATACACATGTTTATTCCTTTGTGTGTATTGGGACAAAACAAAAAAAGGGAGGAAAGAAAGCAAATTCGACATAATGTCACACAAACCTCCAAAAATGGGCTGGACAAAAGTATTGGCACCCTTTCACAACTGCGGATAAATAAGAATGTTACAAGCATGTGATGCTCCTGTAAACTCACCTGGGGCAAGTAACAGGTGTGGGCAATATAGAAATCACACCTGAAAGCAGATAAAAAGGAGAGACGTTCACTTAACCTTTGCATTGTGTGTCTGTCTGTGCCACACTAAGCATGGACAACAGAAAGAGGAGACGAGAACTGTCTGAGGACCTGAGAACCAAAATTGTGGCAAAATATCAACAATCTCAAGGTTACAAGTCCATCTCCAGAGAACTAGATTTGCCTTTGTCCACAGTGCGCAACATTATCAAGAAGTTTGCAACCCATGGCACTGTAGCTAATCTCCCTGGTCGTGGACGGATGAGGAAAATTGATGAAAGATTGCAACGCAGAATAGTCCGGATGGTGGATAAGCAGCCCCAAACATGTTCCAAAGAC